ATTTGATTTTAGGGCTGGTGAGATGGCTCAGGGGACTAAGCACCTGCTTAGGCAAACATGAGGATTGGGGTTCGATCCCCACCCCCAGGCTCGCTGCGCTGGTCACTGAGACCAGGCTTGGAGTATGCCTGTAATCCCAGGGCTGGGGAGGCTGCAAATAGGGGGATCGCTACAAGTCTGAGCTGTGTAGTGAGACTCTGTACCAAATACATTTAAAAAAAATAATTATTATTTTTGGCTTTTAAACTGGGCATGCTGGCACACACTTGTAATCTCAGCACTAAGCAGGCTGACACAGGAGGATTGCTGACTTTGAAGCCAACGTGAACTGGGTAGTGAGACCTTGTCAAAATCAAAAAAATCTCTGGCTGGGGCTGGTGAGATGGCTCAGTGGTCTAAAGCACCTACTTAGAACAAGCTAAGCTAAGCAAACGCGCAGGGACCGCGGTTCAATCCCCAGCACCACATGCCTGCCAGCCCCGCCCCCTGGTGGGCTGAGCTGGCCACACACACACAAAATAAAAAAAAAAAAAATCTCTGGCTTTTACTTGGACAAAATAAATGATCATTAAAGGTGAGAAAATGATGCCCACTGAGCTATGAATACAGGTTCTGACCAAGCATAAATCAAAAATAACTCAATTCCAAATTCTGCTGGATGTGGTGGCACACATCTAGATAATTCCAGCAGTTGGCAGGCTGAAGCAGGAAGATTAACCAGGAGATCAGGGCCAGCCTGAACAACATAGGGAGACCCTGTTAAATAAAACCTTTTTTTTTTTTTTTTTTTCCTGAGTGAATCTGGGGTGGTTAGTAAAGAATGGGTAATAAGATTGGTAAAGGATTTTCTTACGTATGATCTTTTTGTTTGTAGACACAGTTTTGCTGTTTAGTTTAGACTAGCTGTCAACTCACTGTGGATCCTAGGCTGGGCTTGAATTTGTGGTAATCCTGCCTGGCTCCCATGTGCTGGGATTATATGGGTGTGCCACCATGCCTGGTTCCATGTGATTTTGTGAGCTGTGGCCACTTTGAGAAATAGTGTTAAAAAATGGGTACCTTGCTGGGTATAGTGATACCTTGCCCTCCTGTAATCACAGCACTTGAGAGGCTGAGACAGGAGCATTGCTAAGACCAGCCTAGACTACATAGTGAGTTCAGTGTCAGCCTGAACTACAGAGTAAGTCCCTCTGTCTCAAAAATCAAAACAATAAAATATTACTTGGCAGATAATTATGAGAACAAGACAGGAAGGCAAAATAGGTATGAAGTTTTGAGCTATGATGAATGGGGGAATGGACTGGGCATTGGGTACTTTTGGGGAAAAAGTAGGGGGAAAACCTAACCAAGAACCTGCCCCCACAGGCAGAAGAACGACATAAGGCAGGCTGATTCGAGGAGGCAGTGGACTGGGGGGCCCGGTCCCGGAGGTTCATCTTGGCCAGCTTTGCTGTCTGGCTCACTGTCCTCATTCTGTCCCCTGTGCTGCTGTGGCTGCTTTCCTACACCATCTCTCTCAGGCTGAGTGACCTGGGTGGCCGGTGCTGAGAGTCAGCTGAGACATGCTGGATCCAACAGTGCAACATTGCTAAGTTCTGGTGACAGCAGGAGTCCTTGTTGGCTGGAAGGATGGGGCTTCTCTTAAAGGCTTTTGGAAGAGCTCTTCCAGCCTTTTATTATAAGAGCTGAGACTGGGGAGGGGGTGATCAACCGGTTCTGTTTCATTGCCCTCTATCTTCCTTCTGTTTTGCTCCACTCCATCCTAGAGGCCTCTATTCAGAAGCAGGCTTGAAGACCAGGCCTAATTTTATTAGAATTTGTTTTGTAATAAAAAACCTCTTTTGGTGTTGAAATGCTCCTGTCTAATTACTCTCTCCGATTTCCCCTGGGCCTTTGATGAGGACCAGATTGGACATCTGACTGATGCCAGAAGACTGCAGCTAGTCTCTAGCTTCACTTAGCTACATGAGAGAAAAACAATTTTTTTTTTTTCTTCTGGAAGTTTCTTGTCTTGGAAAAACCCACAGCTTTTCTCTTACACATCAGCAGAAACTGAGGCTGGATAGGAAGTGCAGTACTAGAAGATACTATTTATGCCAGGCTGTGTTCTAAGTCCTTTATATTTTGTCTTCAGTCCCAATAATGATTCAGTGGTTGGTTTTTCTTTTACAGTTGAGAAAATGGACAGATTTATTATTAATTTATTTCTTTATTGTCTTTTTTTTTTTTTAATTCATTCATTTATTTTGTGTGTGTGGCCAGCTCAGCCCACCAGGGGGCAGGGCTGGCTGGCATGTGGTGCTGGGGGATTGAACCGCAGTCCCTGTGCTTTGCTTAGCTTGTTCTAAATAGGTGCTTTAGACCACTGAGCCATCTCACCAGCCCTTTATTGTCTTTTTGAGACTGGGCCTCGCTATGCCTGGCCTTGTGGAGCTCAAGTTTGTCTTGAATTCACAACAATCCTCCTGCCTCAGTCTCCCAAGTGCTGGGATTATAGTTGTGTTCCACCATGCCAGGCAAAATGGGTAGATTTACCTAAGGTCACTGAGCTAGTACATGGCAAAAACTGTATTGAGTCCAAAGCTGACTTGAGCTATATCTCCAGCCCTCTTTTTATTTTGTATCTTGAGACAAGGTTTCATAAGTCACTAACTTGCCCAAAAGGGGCTTGAACTTGGAATTTGCCTGCTTCAGATTCCCAGCATGTTGGGCTTAAAGGTATGCACCACCATGCTCAGATTTGAATATTTGTGTACCTGTGCCATGAGAATTAGGATTACCTCATCATAATTTAGCAGAGCACCTAAAGGAATTAGAGATTGTACACTGAAGAGAGGACTGGAGACACATGATGTCTGTTTTCAATTTTCAAAGGGCTCTGGAAAGGAAGAGTACCAGAGATTGGCCCAAAGTCTCAGGCATGCTAGGCCAGTGCTCTACCACAGCTGGCTTACTAACAGTCTCTATTGCAAGGACTTTCCTGTTTTAGGATCTGGTTGAGAATCCTCACTGCAGTTGTCATGCCTCAATTTTTGGACAGTTCCTCTTTTTTTTTTTTTTTTCTTCCCTCTTTCATGGTGTTTCTGAAGCAAGGCTACTTCACGGCAAAAGGCATGTAAATGTTCATTTGTCTTAACAATTTGGTTAACATACATAGTGTCATATTTTTCCAAAGAAATGATCTTTTTTTTTTTTTTTTTGTAATTAAAAAGAAATTTAGGGCTGGCCAGGTAGCTCAGCAGACTAAAGCGCCTGCTTAGGCAGAGTGCAGCAGCTGGCATTCGATCCCTGGCAAGCTATCCAGGCCCCAGCCCTGCCCCCGGCCCCCGCGGTGCACTGAGAGGGCAACTGAGACGGGGCATGGTTACAAGCACCTGTAATCCCAGCACTCGCGAGGCTGAAAACAGGAGGATCACTAACAGTCCAATCTATATAGTGAGACCCTTTAGACCCTGTAACGAAACAAAACAAAAAAAAATAGAGTTGGGGAGATAGCTCAGTGGTTTAAGTACCTGGTTGGCAGTGACCCAGGTTCGATCCCCAGTACTGCATGCCAGCCCAGAACCACAACTTGCAGCCACTGAAACCTAGCAAGGTGTTGCACAACCTTAATCCCAGTGCTGGGGAGGCTGAGATAGGAGGATCACTACAAGTCCAGCTACATAGTGAGACCCTGTACCAAATATTAAATAAAACAAATTATATAATTTTTCCAGTGAATTTCACGATTTTGATTTTTTTTTGAAAAGGCATCATAGCTGGCCTTGAACTTCCCTCCTAAGTTCTGAGATTGCAGACATTCACCACTATTCACAGTTTCACCAGTGATTTCAATGCCTAATTTTGCCCAAAATCACTTACGGCCATGAGGTTTGCAAAATTTTGGTGTCTTTTTTTCACCCCTCCACACTGAGGAATTGGTGACTAAACCAGGAAATCGATCACCAAGTGTGTCTCCAGCTCTTGTTTATTTTTGAGACACGGTTTCATGTAATTGTTCTGGTTGACCTTGAACTTGCAATCTTCTGGTCTTAGTTTCCCAATTAATTTTTTCTGCATTTCTTTCTACTATATAAAATTTGGAAGGATGGCACTGTAGCTCAGCAGACTAAGCTCTTGCTTAGGTAAGCGCAGAGGCCAGGGTTTGATCGCTGGCTCCACATGCTGCGCCAGCACGCTGAGCCGGCGATGGTGTCTGGGCATGTGGCGTGTGCCTGTAATCCCAGCACTTGGGAGGCAGAAATCAGGAGGATCACTACGAGTCTGGACTGTGTAGTAAGACCCTGCACCAAAAAAACCCCAAAAACCTAAACCTAAAAGTGTCTGCCTGACAAGCACAAGGTCCCGAGTCTGATCCCCAGTACTGCAAAAAAACAAAAAAGAAAGAAAATTTGGGTCTGATGACATACTTAAATGCTTATCAGTGTGAAAGGCCCTGAGTTCAATCCCTATTGCTGCAAAACTTTTTTTTTTAATTCTTAGTTACAACATTTAGGATCCATATGGTCTGAATGTTTTGTAGTTTGGTTATATATATTACTATCACCTTAAAATATGTTCTGTTCAAACCAGGAATGTGCATACCAGTAATCTTGGCACTCTAAGACTGAAGCAGAAGGATAGTAAGTTTGAGTCTAGCTTGGACAATTAGACCCTGTTTCAAAATAAAAAAAAGCACAGAGGGTATACTCCAGTGTGAAGACCCTGGGTTCTAGGTTCAATCCCTAGTATTAAAAAAAAAGTTCTGGGGCCAGGGAGATGGCTCAGTGGAATAAGCGCTTCCCTGGCAAGTGCAAGGGCCTGAGTTCAATCTCCAGTTCTGCCAAAAAATAAAAAGAGGGCTGGTGAGATGGCTCA